CTGTACTCCAGTCTGGGCGACAGAGTGAGACTCCAACTCAAAAAAAAAAAAAAATGTATACTTATTTTAAGTATGACTATATATAATGATTTAAAATATATATAAATATTTCAAATAAAGTTTTCCAAAAGTTAAGCATATGTTCATCATATGATCTGGCTGTTCCACTCCTAGACATTTGCCTAAGAGGAATGAAAATATTTGTCCCCGCAGTGACCTGTACACAGATGTTCATAATGGCTTTATTTATAGTAGCTAAGAATGGAAAGAAGCCCACATATTCACCAACAGATGAATGGGTAAACAAAGCATGGTGTATGCATACAATGGAATACTACTCAGCAACAAAAAAGAAATGTACTAGTGACATGCAACAACCTGGATGTGCCAGAAAGTAATCATGCCGAGTGAAAGAAGCCAGGAGAAAAGGGGTTCATACTGGATGATTTATGTACATCTCTAGGAAATGCAAACTAAGGCCAGGTGCAGTGGCTCAAGCCCAGCACTTTAGGAGACCAAGGCAGGATGATTGCTTGAGTCCAGGAGTTCAAGTCCAGCCTGGGCAACATAGCACGACCTTGTCTCTAAAAATAAAAAATTTAAAATTAACTGGGCATAGAGGCATGTGCCTGTAGTCCCAGCTACTTGGGAGGCTGAGGTTAGAAGGTCAAGGTTGCTGTGAGCTGTGATCATGCCACTGCGCTCCAGCCTGGGTGACAGAGTGAGACCTCGTCTCTGAAACAATTTTAAAAAGTAAGCCAGGTGTGGTAGCATGTGCCTGTAGTCTCAGCTACTTGGGAGGCTGAAGCTAGAGAATTGACTAAGCCCAGAAGGTCGAGGCTGCTGTAAGCCGTGATTGTGACACTGCCCTCCAGCCTGGGCGACAGAGTAAGACCCTGACTCAAAAACAAAACAAAACAATCTATAATGCTAGAAAGAAGATTAGTGGGTGCCTGGGCTGGGGAAAGTGGGAAGCAGAGATTGCAAAAACAGAGGAGGAAACTTTTGAGGATGACAGGTATGTTCACTGCCCTGACTGTGGTGATGGGTTCATGGGGAAATATGTAAAAACATCAGCCTTTCCACTTTAAGTATGTCCAGCTGACTCTTTGCAGTTTCTCCTAATAAGGTTGTTTAAAATCTTAGAAAAAGGAAGAGTTGCCATGGAAGGAAGTGTAGAATGTGGTGGTGGCATCTTTAAGCAGCACCTGATTCAGACAGGTGAGGGGGCAGGGTCAGAGCCATGCAGCAGAGGCAGGAAAGAGCTTGGTCCTGGCTAGGAGGTAATACGAGAATCAAGTCTCACGAATGGGCAGATGCCAGGTAAGCAGCCAAGTACCAAGATGGTTGGCTCCCCAAGTGGAGGGAGAAGCATGGGCAAGGGTGTAGTGTGGAGACCACAGTGTGTTTGTGAAGTTGTTTGCAGTTAGGTATGTCTGGAGTGTTAGGTGAGCAGCGGGTAGATTGGAATTCTGAGTCTTACTCCAGAGCCCTTACCTAGTTCCAAGGCCCTGCTAACTTCTTGGATGTCTAAAATATCACTTCCTCCTGAGTTTCTGGGAACCATGTTTATGTCCTTTGATGCCCCCTCTGATATCAGTTTCCTTGAACATGTGTTGCCTTGCTTTCTGATTAGCAAAATCTGACTGCTGGAGTGGTCTCCCTCCTAGAATCCCCAGATTCTGCCTCTCAGGTAGAACAGACCTCCTCTCTGTATGTGCCTGAAAGACCTTGTGTGTTTTACTTTAGACCAAATATTTATCCTGAAGTTGTTGGGGTTAGTGCAGAGAAATTCTTTCATGGTTAAATTTTCTATGGTCATCATGAAAAGTTAGGCAGCTGCTCTTCTTTTGTCAGAAACATGCTCATAGCAGGGCACAGTGGCTCATGCCTGTAATCCCAGCACTTTGAGAGGCCAAGGTGGGAAGATAGCTTGAGCCCTAGAGTTCAAGACCAGCCTGGGCAACATAGTGAGACCTCATCTCTACAAAACAGTCAAAAAATTTACCAGGTGTGGAGGCATGCACCTGTAGTCCTAGCTACTCAGGAGCCTGAGACAGAAGAATTGCCTGATTCCAGGACATAGAGGCTACTGTGAGCATGATCATGCCACAAGGATTCCAACCTGGGGGACAGAGTGAGACCACAACTCTAAAAAGAAGCATGCTCACAAACCATTAATTCTTTTCTAGGATTAATTTCTCCAGCTTCTGACTGTTCATAGAATTTTCTGTTTTTCTAGGGCTACCATTTTTGACCTGAGTTCGGATGTGTCTTAGCATCCAGCCTGTGCCACCCTCCTCTTCCCAAAGCTGGGAGTGATGACTCCATGACAAGCTCAGACTTGCTTTTGGGCAGCTAAATTTCATTCGTGGGCAGAAGAGGACAGGAAAGCACTCTAGTCCAGTACTCTGTGGTCTGGAGCATAGCACTCTACACAGAACACATATTTAGTATATTTTTACAAATTTATAAGGGCATTGTTACCACACTAATTCTGATCCTGTGTCCCAGTTCTGACCGTGTGTCTAGTATCTGAGACTCCAACTCCTGCTTCCTCAGTCACTTTTACCCTGGTGTAGACTTGACAAGAAATTCCCAATTTCTGAGACTAGAGCCCTGGCCTAATTTTGTCAGCCTCTCTTTGCATCCTTTTGTGTGGTTCTTTCTTAATAGATGCATTTGGACATCATTTCTGTGCTGGGCACTGAGTCTTACCCCAGAACCCTTACCTAGTTCCAAGGCCCTGCTAACTTCTTGGATGTCCAAAATATCACTTCCTCCTAAGTTTCTGGGCGCCATGTTTATGTCCTTTGATGCTCCCTCTGATATCAGTTTCCTTGAACATGTGTTGCCTTGCTTTCTGATTAGCATAATCTGACTGCTGGAGTGGTCTCCCTCCTAGAATCCCCAGATTCTGCCTCTCAGGTAGAACTGACCTCCTCTCTGTATGTGCCCACATTGTATGCTGATATCAGATTTCTATACTACAAACTATCATATTTTTATTACTCTGATATATTTCCACATCAGCCACCTCCTGTTAGACCACAGGAGCCAAGACTGTATGTTTATTTTTCTGTTTCCAGCATCTGGGTGGGAGTGCTGAGCACACAGTAGGTACATGTGACATGGGAACTCTATGTGACAGTAAGTGCTTCACACAAAGCTCTGAAGGTTCTGTTTTGCAAATGCTAAATACCAGATACCTGCAAGATACAGGTCATGTCTGGAGTTTGTATCAAGGGCATTCAGTATAGGAGCTGGGTTTTGGTCTAATGGGGGTAACCTAAAGTGATGTAATGGCGAAAAATAAGGATTCTGGAAGAAATATCAGTACTTACTGAGGAGCTTTGGAATTGGTGGTTTTATGTGTTCAATTCATTCCTATAAGGACTTTAAGGACAACAAATGCCATGTTGTGAGGATTGACTGGTGTTCACCTTGTGAATGTCAGGTCTTAATTTCCTCATCTGTAGAATGAAGAAGTTGAATTCAATTGAACCCAAGGGTGCTGCTAACTCTGACCACCCATTTGTGCATAGTCTGTGTGGATAAGAGAATATAAACATGTACCTGTTAGAAGAAAGTGCCTTACAAACTATGGGCATGAAACAACAAATCTATTTTATTCTTTCTTTGTAATACAAAGCCTTCTTTGAAGAACTTTTCTTTTCATTGTAATTCTAAACAGCAAGGATGTTGTATACTGACAATTTTTATATATGTAAGAAGGAAGCAATAACTCGTAGATTGAAGTTCTTTATTTAGAAAAGAACCTAGTTTTAATATTGAAATTAAGAGGACGTTTTCAAAATATGTGAAAATCATGACTTTTTGCTTGTTTATTTAAATATTCCAACAATTTTGTTCTGCATTTTTTTACACCATAGTCATTTAGTCAAGTAATTGCTTTGATAATTTTAAATGGTTTATTACAGAAATTTTCAAACATGCAGAAGTGGAAAGAAAAGTACAGTGAACACACACATGCCATCACCCTGAACTATTTCACAATTTTGCCAACTCTGTTCCAACTGTTTTTCACTTCCTTCCCTACCCTACATTATGTTATTTCACTGTCAACACTTTCACTGACTACTTGTAGCAGATAATGACTTTTAAAAATCATAATCATAATACCACTGTCACATCTAACAAAAATAAGAGCCACTCCTTAATATTATCTAACACCAACTCTTCATGCAGATTTTTCCAACATTTTTCCATTTTTCAAAATGTTTTATTCTAACCAGGATCAAAACAAGGTCTACACATTGCATCTGGTTGATATGTCTCTAAGTTTCCTCTCCTAAGAAATCAGACCATGGCTTATAGAAGAATTTATCCCATTCAAGATTCTGCTGATTGCCTCCTCCTTGTCTTGGAGACCCCTTTGCTTCCCCCTCCCCACCACTTATGAGTTGAATAAACCAGGCCATTTTGCCTGCAGAGTGTACTACATTTTAGGCCTGACCAACTGTATGCTTGTGGTGAGGTTTAACATATTTCTTTGCCCTCTTATTCTCCATAAACCATCAAGGGACCCTTTCAGAATCTGATAAGAGAAATGGTCTCTCCCTAGAAAATAGCAAACATATATATTCACTTACACACACACACAATATTGCACACTGTTTCTGAGGCTTCACAGACCCTCTGAAGCCGCAGACTCCAGGCTGAGATGCCCTAATAAAGTTTGATGAGGTGTCTGTGGAGCTGTGACTTCCTTTCCCATAAATCAGGAAGCCCGTGATGCCCCCTGTCCCATTGTCAGATTGGTGTTATCAGCCTTATCCTTTCATTATAAAGTTCCGCATTCACCTTTGAACAAATGATTTCAGCAGCCACCAATAGTTCTTGATTTTATCCAGGTTGAAAATGGTAATTTTATAAATTGATCAATAATTTTTCCTTGTCAACTATGAAGTTACCTCAAATATAGATTGTACTGGAAAAGCAGGACTCTTATTTGGAATATTTTGGGTTTTTATACTAATAGGAGTTGACAAACAATGACTAACATTGAAAACAATGGTAGTTTGGAACTAGCTGAAGCAAGTAAACTGAATGACAGAAATCACTGGGTCAGAGATTTGAAACCTTTACTGTAAAATGCCTAACTTACTATTCTAGATCAAGAGTACTCAAGGACCATAAGTTGTACTTTTATAGCCTAGCCTTTGCAATTTAAAAATAAATCCATATGCTGTCTTTCTTATAGAGAACATTCCAACAAAGAACGCGTGGGTCTCAGTAAAGAAAATTTATTACTTAGAGGATGCACCATTAGAAACACAGAGGCTGTTGTGGGCATTGTGGTTTATGCAGGTTGGTTCTGTTTCTCATTTCCATCATCGTCTCCTCTGTGCTTTCCCACAAGTGATCTTTTTCATTTACTCAAAAATGCAGTCTACCAAAGCAGAAGGGAAACTTTGTCTTAATAAACTTAATCTTGGTCTCTGTTTTTCTAAATGGATCACAAAAGCAGACTAAGCTGACATATATTACATTTTATTAAACTGTCTGCCAGAGAGATTTTAAAATGTAGTTTTTGCTTCCTGGCTCTAATTTGTACATTTTCTGTCATATTATGTGTCCTACAAAGGTCATGAAACCAAAGCAATGCTGAACAACAGTGGGCCACGATATAAGCGCAGCAAGTTAGAAAGAAGAGCAAACACCGATGTCCTTTGGTGTGTCCTGCTTCTGGTCATCATGTGTTTAACAGGTGCACTTGGTAGGTACAAATCCATTATTTACTGACATCTTTTCAGCAATATATTATTTGTTCGACTTCAAAATGATATTTTCGAATGTTTGACTTCTATAAAGGAGCTTTTATTTGTCGATAGTTTTTTCCCTTATAGCCTTGTCCCTTCCATCCATTGGCCTGAAAAACATTAATATTGACTGTATCCACTTACATTTTGCCACAGTAGTAGACCTAGAAAAGATTTAAAGAGGGAGACAGGGACAGAAGAATGACTAGGATGGTAGGCAAAGGCCTTTGGAATTTGAATTTGTTTCCCAAAACAAAGCAATTGTTGTTCAACCAAAATGAATACTCCCGTCCCTTCTCCTTTAGAACTAAAACTAGGTGTTTGCACACTATCCACATAGCCTCCTTTTGGTGTCTGTGTTTGTTGCAAGGTCATGGCATCTGGTTGAGCAGATACGAAAGCACACTCATTTTCTACATCCCCGAGCCTGATGGACGCATCCTATCCCCAGTGTTGGCGGGGTTCTACATGTTTTGGACCATGATCATTTTGTTACAGGTAATTTCTATTCAGCTCATCACAGAATTGTGAAAGTTTCACTATGTTTGATTCTTCATTCTCCCTTTAACCCACTTTAACATTTTAAAAATTATTTGGGTCTTCTTAGGTCTTGATTCCCATTTCTCTCTATGTTTCCATCGAAATCGTGAAGCTTGGGCAAATATATTTCATTCAAAACGATGTGGATTTCTACAATGAGAAAATGAATTCCACCGTCCAGTGCCGAGCTCTGAACATTGCTGAGGATCTTGGACAGATTCAATACCTCTTTTCTGATAAGACGGGAACCCTCACTGAGAATAAGATGGTTTTTCGAAGATGTAGTGTGGTGGGATTTGATTATTGCCATGAAGAAAATGGTGAGTTTGGGATTTCTACAAAAAACAACCTTAACATTGGTCTTTTTTTTTTGTAACCACTTACATGTCTGATAGTTCTGACATTGATATGCTTTATTTAAGTATCAGGTACTTAATGCATCCAAATGGACTTTAAGATTTATTGTCCATTCAAAAGTTAGTAGGTTAAAAAGTCAGGGAGTCTACTACCTTTCTTTTAAAGAGCAGTAAATTACCAGTGGGTGTAAAAGTGGGAGTTATGGGAATGACAATGATATTGCACTATATGTACTTTCGAAACTCTAATGAAACTATGGATCGTCTCACTGAAAAAACATCTAAGAAATAATTATAAAAGGTTTATGGCTCCTCCTAGCCCTGTCATTTAGACCTGAGGTATCTACTGATGCTTGGTGAAGAACACCTAGTTTAAGAATAAGGAAAATGAGCTGAACTTCTGATGCCAAAGAAGTTCATTTATAAATTCCAGGTGTTCTTTAAAGAGTTGAACTTTATTTTGTTATTTGCAAAAGTAATATGTGCTCCAATGAAGATAATTCACAAAAGTGTACAAAAAATTAAAAGCCCTGCTCCCCAGAGGTTAACCACCATTAACAGTTTGGCAAATACGTAACCAACCATATATTTATGTGTGTGTGTGTGTGTATATATATATTTCTCTATATGTCAGCATTTATATGTACACATTTTTCCTTTTTCTGTGTTAGAACATGTTATAGTACTGTTTTTGCACCTTGTTTCTTTCATTCAACACTGTTTCATGGGATTTTCCCAAGTCGATTCATAACTTGACATTAAGAGTGTAGGCTTCTACTCTATGTGGTCAAGCTCAGATTGCTAAACTAGGTGGTGGGCGTTTAGCTTGCAAATATAGGAGGACTTGCAGTTAACATCACCAGTTTATTCATCAAATATTTTGTGAGCTTCTAGTATGTGGCATAAATTCCTCATCTCCTGTAACTTTAGAGTTAAGGAGATTAAAAATTATAATATGTAAATAAAAGAAAATTCAGTGTGCAGTATGCATCTTTGTACATATATATTTGTGCAATTAGTTTTATAAGACACATTTTACTCTGAAAGATCTTGTTGATTTATATTCTCACTATTCATAAAAACAATGCCTGTTTTTCACACCCAGCCATATAGGATGAAGTTATACTTTTTAATCTATGTGAATTTTATAGACCCAGAACTTCATTGTCTTAATTAATATCTGATTAGTAATGAAATGTTTAACTTCTGAAATATTTATTGGCCATTTGAATTTTGGGGGTAAATTGATTGAGTTCCTTTCCTATTTTTTTTTAATGTTTTTTTTCTTTTTTTAGTCATCTGTAGGAGAGTTTTAACTATCAAAGGCAGGACTGATGTTCAGCTTGTATGTCCCAGTCTGAATTGTTTGTTGCGAGTGTTCTTTTTTTTTTGAGTTGAAGTCTCATTCCGTCACCCAGACTGGAGTGCAGTGGCCGCTCCCGGCCACCGCAGCCTCGACCTGCTGGGCTCCGGCGATCCTTCCGCCTCAGCCTTCCGAGTAGCCGGAATTACAGGCACGCGCTACCACACTCGGCTGATTTTTTGATTTATTGTAGAGATGAGGTCTCGCCAAGTTGCCCAGGCGGGTCTCGAACCCGCGGGCTCGGGTAATCCACTCACCTCAGCCTCCCAAAGTGCGGTATTACAGGTTGAGCCACCGAGCCCGGCTGCGAGTGTTCATTTTTATCTGTGCACTTGTTTTGAATGGTTCTTTAGTACTTTGAAATCAACCCTGATGTTGTAGCATCCTTTTCTTCTCTCTGTAGCAAATATTCTCCTGACTCATCATTTAGTATTGTATTAGTTTTCTTTTTTTCTTTTTTTTTTTTTTTTTGAGTTGGAGTCTCA